TGCCTCCCACTAACCACACGCTAGTGCTGAAACAGACAGCTGCAAACATCTGGGCCACCCTTTATTTATTCTGTGGTTCTGAGGGATGACGCTACAGGGACTCCTGGAGTCAAGCCAATGGGCTCTATCGTCACCTGCTGCCTATTCCAGGGGAATGACGTCCACATCTGGGGCCTTGAATGGACACTGGGTCTCTGGGACAACCCCTTTCCGGTGGCAGAAGCTGTCCACAGAGACCACCTCTTTCCTCCAGGCCCTGTCCCCAGAGGGATAGGGCTCTTCCAAAGGCCAGCACACACAGAAGCCTGTTTCTGCCCCCTGGGGTATACTAACACGTTACTGACTAGGGAATGCAAGGAGCCAACAGTTGGATCCCAGCTCCCACCCATCCTGTTCTGGGACCTGTCCAGGCTTCTAACCCTCGGAGGTCAGCTTCACCTGATCCCTCCCTCCTCTCAGCCCTGGGCCCTGGCCCCCTGTGTAAGAAACAGTTCACAGGCATGGCAGGAGCAGGATTCTACAGATGAGGACCCCCAACGTTCAGAGAGGGGCAGTCACTTGACCAAAGTCACAGAGCACCCGGGCAGCCAAGGCGAAGGCCACCCTGGCGGCATTTCTCAAAGGCACCTTTTCCTATGTGGCACCTGTGTCCTGCCAACACTCTGTGGATGCTCCCGGGGACAGGGCCTGTTCCCTCTGTCCTCCTAGTACTTGGACTCCGCCAACTAAGCGCTCGCAAGTGCTTGGCTGAACTGTGCCAATCTAAGAGGTTCCTGGGCCCCAAGACCGACGTCTCAGTCTGCTGGTTGACTTCTGGGGACTCTCACTTCCTGAAAACACAGTTTTATACTTCAAGACAGCCTGCCCAGGGGAAACCCCATGCCTTTCCGCCTGTCTCTCTGCCCCAGGCCTGAGGATGACATGGCCTCTCACAGTAGCCTCTGAACCACAGGGCTGGCCTGCGGGTCTCTTCCCAGCTGCCCTCAAGGCCCCTTCTAGACCTAGGACTTGACAGAAACTACTCCGTTCCCTTGCCTGTGTGGGGTGGGGCGGAACAGGGGCTGCCCCCACCCACATCTCCTGCCTTTGCTTAGGTCACTGACCCCAGCAGAAAGGGTTCTCACCCCTCTTCAGCCTCGACTCAGCTTCTATCCATTGAGAAGCTCCCAAGAGAAACCTAGATAGGGAATCCTTGTCTTAGGCAAACTGCGCAGAGAGAAGTTGATGGCTCCCAGCAGAAGGGATTTAACAAAAAAAGGTACAGGTACCCAACAACCCCATGTAGCAGAAGAGAACCGTGCTCCCCGGGATTCTCAATGGCCAACTGGAAATAGATCAGCAGGCCCCTCGGGGGCCTTGGGTCCGCCAGCTTCCAAGCTCTTGGCTACCAGGTGCGCTCTGTCAACCATTTGCACACATGGGACCTGTGGGTCAGGAGCCTCCTTGGCAACTCTTTATTTATTTATGATTCACTTTTGCTTTACAAGCACCCAGGCTTGCACCACCTAACTCAGTCTTGGGGGTGGGGGGAGCAGGGAGGTTGCTGCTGGCATTAGTATTGAAAGATTCTCTGTGGCTTCCGGCAGATTCTCAGAGGTCCATGTCCCACAAAGGATAAAGTGCCAACAATAGCTATGCCATTTGGTGAACCAGGCCAGAAACACAAGGCCTCCCTCAGCATCGTTCACACAATAGTATCACTGTCTTGACCACCCCGATCCCTTCCCCTTCCTTCTGGGCTCCACGGGACAGACCTCGGCTTGGACAGGACCCACCAGGTCTGAAGAAGGCAGGAGCCTGAGTCCTGGGGGTCAACCTCATCTTTTCCTCCCACTGGCTGGGGGAGTAGGGGTGTATGAAGTATGGAATCCTGGGCTGACTTCAGATCTTATGCACTTCCACCAAAAATACTAACCCAACCTCCTAGGAGGCCTACAATTTGTGCCTCCTGTTCTCAGTACTGATGTCTGCCCTCTGCCTCATTCCTCTGGCTGAAGAAGGGCTTAGCCACCAGGTAAAAGGCCAGATGGGCTGGCCCTCAGGGTCTCAGCTCTGTCCAGGGTCCTGACTCCTGCTCTGAGAACCCTCTTCTTCCCCAGGCACCTGAGGGAGCATACCTTGGGCAGTACCCAAGCCCAAACCCTGCCGCCTGCCCATAGCCATTGGCTTGACTGGGAGCCCAAGACAGGTATCCTGCCAAGCAACACAGTGCTCACAACCTCACATTCCTGGTTCCGCCAGGCAGGGGGTCCTGACCCCGACACATCACTTTGCAGCAACTTCTGCACAGGACACTGCCAGGCTGGGATCTGAATGGGTGCCCAGCCTTGTCGACCACCCCACCTACCGGGGACTTACTCAAGGGGTATAAGAAGGGACTCCGGACCCCTTTCCTGCAGGGTGTCTGGAGACCCTGCCCCCCAGCAGATTATAAAACCCTTCTCCTGCCCTCCTCTAGGAACCCTGGTAGAGTCCTGGTTACTTGTTGGGCTGTGAACCGCAGTTCGAAGTCACCAGTCACTCTGAGGGAGAAAGATGAGGCTTTCCATTCGCTGTGTCACCGTCCTGGAAACCCACAGGGGGCAGTTGTAATGTCCTGGAAGTCATGGAGTTGTAACTCCGCGCAGTCTCTGAGTCCCCGCCCCTCCCATCCATTCACTGGGACAAGGGAGCAGCCCAGCTTGGAGATGTTGTGCCAACGTATCTGCCGCCAAACCCTCGTTTTCATCTCCTCCCTCTTGTGAGCCAAATAATTTGGAAGCTTTCATTGATGGTTTCCCCTCCGCCCCGCGGTAACTCGGAATTAATGCCGGCCACGACTCGGCCTCCCCCAACCCTTAGAGGAAGAGGTTGCCCTGCTGGGGTGGGGTGGCGGTTGGGAGCTTGCGCTTGGCAAAGGCTCAAGGTGGGGACAACTTCCTCACCCTCAAAGGCACCTGCAGAAGCTCCTGGGCTGGCACTGGATGGGGGTGGGGGTAGGGGTGGGCGTATAGGGCTGAGCCGGCGGGACCAGGCGTTGACACCCTTTACAGAGGATGGGCTAATTTTGGGTGAGGAAAGGTACAAAGGCTCTGGGCTGGAAAACCCAAGAGGCCGGGGAATTTTTGGCCCCATGCAAATCACTCTTTCCCCAGGCCTCCGCAGACACCTGTTTCCTCCCGCCCCTGCGGCGGCCCCAGGGTGGGGAGGCAGCCCAGCCCCTGGCATCTTCCAGCCCCCCGCCCCCCAGGTGGCCCCGCCCCCGGAGGGAGGGGGACTCGGAGGGAGCTGAGCAGGGGGAGGGGCTCGGAAATCGAGGGAAGGAGTCAAGCTTACCCGCCCCTTCCCTCCCCACGGAGAGCGAGAGAGGCAGGGCGCCCATCTTCAAAATGGGCACAGAAAGGTGGCCATTATCCACTGCAGCAAGTGGGAGCCACGGGGGTCTCCAGAAGCGGACCAAACACACACAGGAGGCGGGGCCCAGCACCCCCAACCTCCAGCTTAGGGACCCCACGGCCCCACGCAACCGTCTCGCATCTCCCCTCCCCCAGCAGGTCTGGAGCGCGTCCTCCCATCCCCCAGCCCAGCATTCCTGCCCGGTCGGCATTCCTGGAGGTAGCTCCATCCTTCCCCACCCACCACTCCCAAGGACCCCTGGGAAGGCACCGCGTTGGGATCCCAAGACCCAGGGTAATTAAGCTGGGGGTGGGGTGGGGTGGGGGCAAGACAGAGAGAATGCTAGGGGGCGGGAGCAGCTGCAGATCACAAAGTTTTGGCCCCCACGGGGCGAGGGCAGCTTGGGGGGTGGAGTCCTTTTTCAGATGCAAGTCTGGAAGGAAGACCCTCACAGGGCCGGCAGACAGGTGGCGTCAGGATTGCCCCGTGGAGAGGGCTTGTTGGGCAGTGGAAGAGCCTGGCTTGGAACAAGGGCCTGCCACCTCAAGGGACTTTGTCCCTGGAACGCTGGTCTCCCAGTCCCGGGACCTCGAGCACTTCCAGGATTTCAAACGCGAGCTAGCTCTGTGCCCTTGGGAAACCTTCGTCCACAGTTGGGCTGAGAACCGGGGTTAGTTTTAAACATTAACGAGGGGGCACTCTCTGAGAGTGTTCCACCCACTGGCTAGCTGCCCTGCAGGCTACCAGACAATGTCGGGGTTACCAGCCAGGTTCAGGTTCAGAGCCTGGCACATGTCAGCCCCCCCCCCCCACTCATCCACTCTGGCCAAGAACCTCTTTCACGTCTCAGGCCCTTGACAAGTATTCAGGACTGTGCAGGCCTTCCCCAGTAACTTGTGACCCTGGTAGGGGAAGGGTAGGGGGCCTGCACCACCCAGCATTTTCCTGGGCAGCATTAGGGACTAGAGGAGCGAGCCCTCGGGGGTGTTTGGAGCTTTGCAAAGGCAGCAACTGCAAGCCATCAGCCGCTCTGGGGAGAAAGCCTAGGCTAAAGGGTAGGTAGTTTTGGGTCTCGATGACAGTGCGATTGGTTGTTTATGTTTTGTTGGGGACTATGGGGTGTCCTCATGTCCATCCCTCTCGACATGATCAGATCAAAGTAAGGAAGGCTCCCAGCGCAGATGTGTGTGAAGTAAGCAGGAGAGGGTGACTCTAAGGACACCCCCTTCATCCCCATATCAGCAAACCGTATCACCCGTGGTCAGCCTCCAAATGTACAGCACCCTCCTGCTTCTGACTCCACCACCACCCAGCCCTCAGCCTGCTCAGCTGGATGAACAGCAGCTTCTCTGATGGCCCTCCTGCCCGCCCTGCTACAGTCTCTCCTCTTCCTCACAGGGGCTGCGAGTCGAGGCCATACCAAACTGTCCAGCTACCCTGCTCATGGTCCTCCAGTAGCTGCCCCTCCTGCTCAGACCAGTAGGAACATCGTAGCTACAACTTCTAAGGCGTACCTGCAAGGGCACCTCCGTTGTCACCCTCTCCCATCCACCCACGCTGACCGTATCCCCGCAGGAATGCTCTTCCCCCACCTCCCGGCCTTTCTGATACTGGTCACTACCCACCTCTGACGGCTTCTTTTCGTTCTGCCGGGGCCAGCCCGACTTGGTGCTGCTGGGCAGTTTGGAGCATCTTGAAGCAGAAGTAGTGTGGCCTGCAGAGAGAACACAGCCTGTTAGGAGTGCCTGCGGGCCACCCCTCCCGCCCCTGGCCAAGGAGAGGAAGCCTCAAAGGAAACCGTGGCCACTTACTGACTGTGTCACCCCGGGCAAATGACTCAATCTGTCTGAGCCTGTTTCCTCGTTTCTAAAGGGGGGCAGGAGAATAACTACCTCCCAAGGTGGTTGAAAGGGTGACGTGATACCGCACTTAGCACAAGCCCTGGCGCACAGCGATTCCTCAATGAACCCAGTGGTGTCATCACGTGCCGCTGAGTCTCGTCCGACTCTTACTGACCTCTGTACCACTGCCTGTTAGTTGCCATTATTGGGGTCTAAGGCCCTTGCTGGACTACGAGTCTGTGACTTCAGGTCCTTTGGGGTAACGGAGCAGCAGCAGGTAGCAGGGATGGTGGTGGGAGCGAGTGCTCCCCAGCCTGGCCCAACCTTGATGAAGCTACAGGGCTCATGGGCCTGAGACCCACCCTCGAGCGAGCGGTGCCCGCCCTCACTGGGTTCCTTTGCCTGCCATAAAAGTAGAAGCGGACAATGCAGTTCTCGCTGGCTCTCCTGAGCCAGTCCACATGCAGTGTGCTGCGGCCACAGAGGGGAAGGGCTAGCCGGCTTGGACATAGGAGCCACGCTGCACAAACAGACCTCAGAGGACAGAGCCTGTGAGAGCGAAGGGGCCGGGACCTGACCCACCATCCCGGTCATCTGATCTCAGGCTCCCAGGAAGCTGCAGGGCTTTGGATGCTAGTAGGGGGCCTGAGACATCTTTCTAATTCCACCCGCAGACAGACTATGAACAAACGGAAGCCAAGCTGGGCCTCTGGTACTGCAGCCCATGCTCTGGGCCAGCACGGCTGGTGGGATGGTCCCCAACAGGTGGTGCTTCTCCCTAGGCAGGCCTGGCTTCCTGGGCCACCTGAGGAGCTGCCTTGTGACCTCACTCGCTAAGAGCTCTCACCTGGGGCAGATGTTCATTCCCCAAGCCCCATTCTCTCCTTGAGAGCCTCCTTCGCCAGATGTCCAACTGCATGCCACGCCCGCCCATACACAAGTCTACCGCTGAGATTCTACCCCGACTGCCACGGTGGCCACATTTCTCCATGAATATCTCAGCAAACACCGACGAAGCGCCTGTGTGCCAGACCTTCGCTGTGAGCTGAAGAAACACCAGGTAGACGTGACGGCTCCAATCAGTGAGGTTAGGAGGTGACACCTATCAGGTCGTTAGAACAGAGGGGCACAGGTCTGTGTCTGATGTGTTGGGGTTTTCTAACTGGGCCAGAGGGGACAGGGAAGGAGCGTAGGGAGACCGCAGTGAAGGACAGGGCTTCCTCAGGAGCAGAGCGACATGACTACACTTCTGTGACCAGCATGTTCCTGACTGCTTGGCAGAGCTAGGACCAGGGCAGCCTGCCCCCACCTGGGCCCAAGAAGAACCCTAATGCTTTCCCGACAGGAATCCCCAAGCCCAAGGCCTTACTGTCAGTGGTGTCAGAGTTGTCGCTGCTGATGGAGTATTTTCGCCTCTTCTCTTCCATCTGCAACACAAGACAGGCCAGTGACGCTCACAGAGGCTTAGGAAATCCTCCCTCTCACAAAGCCCTCCCCACTCACTGGACTGCAGCAGCAGCAGCAGTAGCAGAAGGCAGCCTGTCCCTGGTCTCCGTGAGCCTCATTCCCACCCCAGGGGGTCCTGGGGCTGGGAGAGGGGCCTGCACCTCCCATCTCCTGAGCCCATAGCCCTTGCGTCTGGTCAGAGATGACCGAGGAGGAGGACAAGAAAGGTCAGCAGCCCCAAACTGAACAGTGATGACAGCTGCTGGACCTCGGCTTCCCCTCCAGAGTCCCCCCTTCCATGGTAGTGCCCAGAGTTGTAACCGGTGCCCTGACGGATGCCAAGGAGAGAAAAGGAGCCGGGGTGGGGGAGCCTTTGGACTGACAGTGGAGGACACAGCAGGCTTCACCAGTGAATACATTCTTAGGCTAGGCTCTCCCGGACCCCTGCCCCAGTCACACCCCTTTCTCAGAGGAAAACATAAACCATCTTGTACTCAACATCAGTTCCTATCTTCAAGTTCAGTAATAAGCCACTCGCAATTCCCACTGGTCTGATCACTCTGCCCATGCTGAGCGGCCTTAGAGCCCTCAGTCAGCTCACTGTCTCTCCCCGCATCCACCCCACTCCCACTAATCCTGTAGTCCTAGGCAGCCAGTTTCCTTGACAGGAGGTGACTGAGACCTTCAGTGAGAACAGATCTGGGTGGGGGCTCAGGGTCCAGAGTGCTCTCCGCCCAGTCCCAGGCTGCCTCACTAGCGGTGCAAATCAGAAAACCTATGGGCCAGGAGCCACCTGCTCGCCACTCCTGGCCCAGTCTCTTCATGCTGAACCCCATGCTACCCCTTGTCTGACCGCAGCCTTGCAGAGACCAGGGGTGCTCATCCTCAGGTGAGGCGTGATCAGCCAGATCTAGGTGAGCAGGGAGGTTCTCCCTCCCACCTCCCTCGGACTTTTCCAGCCAGCGGCCTCCAAGGGCAGGATCGGAATGACAGCCAGGCTCATGGGGCTGGTGAGGCCGACAGCACGACTCCCTGGAAGGCGGACACAGGGGTGGTGAATTGCTGAGCACCCCTGGGGCACCCTTGTGCCAGGGAGTTGCCCAGGTCTTCGGAAACACCTGTGGGTTGGTAGGTGCATCCTCATTTTAGAGGAAGAAAGTGGCATTCAGAGGAGAAGGGGTCATAGACAACAGTCAGTGCCCCTGGGCCCATTCTGATGCAGAGATCCTAGAGGGGAGGGTAGAAAGCCTCGTCTCTCTCCCACGGAGCGGCTGGTGGTCTCAAACTGCTGACCCTGAGGCTAGCAGCCCAGCGTGTAATCCACTATGACACCAGCGCTCCTCCTCAGTGGCCATGGTGCTTGTACCAGGTCTAAGGAGACAGTGCCCTTGGCCTTCAAACACTCCTGCCTCCGAGCAGCGCAGGGCAGGCGGCCGGGTCACGGGCTGAGTGGGGTTACGTACCGCCGCCCACCCTGTGCTCAGCTGCCCCTCGCTGTCCTCCAGGCAGACTCTGGCAGTCGAGTTCCAGCCCACAGCTCTCCCAGCTCCAGCGCCGACCAGATGAGAGCAGGGAGGGGCAATAAAAGGCAAAGAAAACCCTTCACTGCCGACTCCCAGCGACTGTGTAGGACAGGGTAGAACTGCCCCTGGGGTTTCCAAGACCGGAACTCTTTATCTTAGTAAAAAGCCTTGTCTTTCTCCGGAGGAGTAGCTGGTGGTTTCAAACTGCTGACCTTGTAATTAGCAGCTCTACAGGTGACCACCAGAGCTCCCGTGTAAGAAAGCAGGGAGAGGGGTCTCCCTGCAGCCAGACACTTTCTCCTGCAAACAGTCCATGACTTCCAAGTCCCCTGGGCTTCTGGCTTCCAGGCCAGGGTCTTTCAGAGCAAGCATTCAAGGCAGGAGATCTGGATGCAAGGGTGCTCTGTTCAAATCCTCACTGGACCCCTCACTAGCCCAGGCACCTTGGGAGACCTATAACTCCCTGAGGATACACACACGGGACCTGGAGTTTTGGGTGGAATCTCCTGCATTTAAAATATTGGCAACTGCTTCGGGATTTTTTTTTATTGTTTTATTAGGAGCTCATAACAACTTTTATCACAATCCATAAGTACATCAATTGTGTAAAGCACATTTGTATATTCATTGCCCTTATCACTCTCAAAACATTTGCGCTCTACCTAAGCCCCTGGCATCAGCTCATTTTCCCCCTCCCTCCCTGCTCCCCGCTCCCTCATGAACCCTTGATAGTTTATAAATTATTATTTTGTCATATCTTGCCTGTCCGACGTCTCCCTTCACCCACTTTTCTGTTGTCCGTCCCCCAGGGAGGAGGTCATATGTAGCTTCGGGATTTTAGAAACACGTTGAGAGGGCCAAACTAAACACGTCTGTGGGCCAGAGTCAGCTGGTGAGGATAAAGGAGCACAGGGCACGGCCTTCACCCCCGTGGCAGAAGTGGCACAGTGTTGGTGATCGTTAGCAACCCCACGGCAACTTCCAGTCAGGGGCAGAGGGCTCTGGTCAGTGCCCACCCATGCAGCTCCTTGACGCCCCAGACAGAGAGGGAGGCCAGTCCTCCTCTGCTGTCAGGAAGGTTCTCTGAAACTGGCATGGTTCGCCGCCCATGCTCGTCTCTCCCCAAAATGAGGTCTCCTGCTGCCCAGGGACCAGGTGGTGACCGGTCAGCAGGTGGCCCATCGGCATGCAGCCCGCACCCTCCCTCAGTCAGCTCCCCTCCAGCCTGCCTTTCATGAGACACTGCGTGCCACTCCCAGATCACACTCCGCGCCACCCCCCACCCCCCCCACCACTGGAGGCTGTTATTAAGGAAAAGATTTTGTGGTGATTTAATTAAAATAATCACTAGGCTTCGCAGGGATTTTGTGAGGGAAGCTTCTTTCCTTTGAACTAAGTCTGTTCCAAAGGCCTCCCTGTCTCAGGTAAGCTCCCCACCCCCACCCCTCCAGTCACAGTAGTAAATGAAGGCCCGAATGAGGCTTGGGTTACCCCCTCCCCAAAATGTGGCCTAGTTCTTTGCCCCACTAATTCCTCACCTGGGCCTTTGGGCCCAGGGCCCAGGGCCCAGGTGAGGGTTAGGATTTGATCCTGGACTTTGGTTTTCTGTCCTCCCTGGTCCTTTAGCTGGCTCCTCAGATCTCTCCAAGAACAAGGTTTTGCTTTGAAGAGACAGAAAGCAAACCCAAAACCAAACCTACAGCCATCGAGTCAATTCTGATTCACAGTGACTGGATTACAAGGTTTTCCAGAGGCTGTACGTACTTATGGAAGCAGACAGCTGTGTCTTCCTCTCAAGAAGGGGCCGGTGGGTCTGAACTGCTGGTCTTGTGGTTAGCAGTCCCACGCTTACCTGACAGCGCCACCTGTCTCCATTTGGGAGACAGAAAGTGCTCCTTAGATTGTATTTACAAAGGAGACCTTGGGAAAGAAACGGTCTCCAATTCCAATCATTCAGACTAGCCCCAGCCTTGCACACCGCACCAGGATGCAGGGCGCATGTGCCAGAGTCCCTGTGACGGAGTGGCAGCCGCAGCCTGCCAAAGCTAGCACCCCTCAGCTGGGAAGCCTAGTGGACTGTCCATCTACTACAGTTGCGCTCCTTTCTTCTCCTGCCTGGACCCCTCCGTTTATCCTCAGCTTCCACCTCTGCTCCCCTACAACCCGGGCTCCGCACAGCAGCCGGAGTGTTAAGTTCTGTCCCCCCCAGAAGATGTGTTGTAAACCCGAATCTCTCTGCCTGTGATTATAATGAGCTGTGTTTGTTAGAGCGATGAAGCAGGATGTGTGGAGGGTGTAACGGGAGCCAGCTTGTTGAGATATAAAATAGGCCAAACCCAAGGAAACAGAGATGGCTGGCACCCTGAATTCGGGATTCTAGCCTCCAAAAACTGTGAGAAAATAAATATGTTTGATGGGGCCCCCAGCTCATGGTATTTCTGTTATAGTCCTTGCTGGTAGGGGCCGTCAATTGGTTCCGACTCAGAAAGACCCTGTGGACAACAGAATGAAACACTGCCCGGCCCTGGGCCACCTGCACAATTGTGCCCATGTTTGAGCCCACGCAGCCACTGCGCCAGTCGACCTTGTTGAAGGCCTTCCTGTTTTCTCCCACCTTTTCTTGTACCAAACATGATGGGCCCCTCCTGACGTCTGTCTCTCCCCAGCCTAACTTCTACGGAGCACTCTGGCTGTACTTCTTCAACACATTGGTTTGTCCCACGGTACTTTTAATATTCTTCACCAGCACTGACCTTCAGAGAGGCACGGGTTCTTGGTCGGTTACGGTAGCTAGCACTAGATAACCAAGTCACTGAATGCTCTCAGAGAAGCAGGATTCAGATCACGCCGTGCCCGGACTTGAAGTCCTCAAAGGCTTCCCTTTGCTCAAAAGACCAAACATAAGCTCTATGCCACAAGGTGTGCTCATCTGCTGCCTGGACACATTCTATCAACTACTGTCCCCTTCCTCACTGCCTTCCAGCCACCCGGCCTCTTTCCATTTCCTCAGACAAGCCCAACATTCTCTGATCCAAGACTGGACCCAGGCTGGTCCCTCTGCCTGCAGAGTTCCTCCGGTGGCTGAAGCTTGACTTCTCCTCTTCGGTGTCACCAGAAGCCTCTCTGCCTGTTACTTGAGCTAAAGAAAGTTCTCCAATCTGTCATTCAATTTCTTCAGAGCCCCGGTCACACTCTGTTTAGTTAGCTGCTGGTGTCGCATCCTCCTTGGGATGGTGCGTTCCAGGAGAGTCAGAAGACGGAGCCCGCCTGCATCCCTGCGGGAGCCCAGAGCCTCGGACCTGGCACATACAAGGGGCTCAACGCAAGCCGGCTGCACAGTGCGCTCCGCTCTCAGGCCCTCCTTCCAGAAGCGTTGGGGACCACAACAGCCCAGCTGGCCCACCTGCAGCTTGCAAGAACAAACGCCCTAGCCCAGGATTTTGTCCTGTTTTCCCAGCCCGCCTTCCCCGCCTTAGGCTCACACATTTTCCAGGAGGCTTATTTGGTTGGACTCCGGGCTAATGATCAATGTCAACTCCGGAATAGGGCAGCAATTTGGTGGCAGATGTTTTCTTGGCTGCACTAGCCATTGGTCTTTAGTGGGGGCCCTGGGCCTGCACTTGAAACACCCATGCCTAATGCCAACCCCCTTTAAAGACCTCTCCGCAAATAAACTCAAATAAACACTCTGGGCCTCCATTAACGCCCTTCAAGCTGACCCTGGGAACAGTGGGCCTTTCAGGCGCGCTGCAGCAGCAGCTCCCTGGGCAGTTAAAACACCCCAACCTGGCCTCCATCTCCGTTCTCCAGGGGCCACCAGGCCTGCCTCCCTGCCACCACACACAGCAGGATTTCGTCCTCCTCCTTAAAAAAAAAAAAGCAGCTTTCAAACAGGCAATTTACCATTCCAGACACAATCTTTCAAAGAGAAACAAACTCTCCCTGTCTGAGGCAGACCGCTAAGGCATGTGTGTAATAAGATGCTAATACAATTTAATGATATTTCGGCTGGAAAACCTGTCCTCAGAGCCTCCTTGTGTCGGGAAGGCCAGACTTTCAGAAAACAAGAGCTACACACTCTTAAAATCGCTTTAAACGCGGGTCAGAGCCCCATTCTTTCCCATCTTTCATGAACTTTAATGCCTTCCCAGGGACAGTAATTGCAGTCGCAAGAACAGAGAGGCTGCAGCCTTGGTTCCTCAAACCTGTTTCTCCAGCCTGCTTCTTTAAGCCGAGGGGAGCCTGAATGGTCCTCCAGCACCCATCACCGCCCACTCCAAGTGGCCCAGATGGCACCGGATTCACACAGCATGCTGCTGACTTCCACCCGACTCAGTTCTTGGCGCATACGCCGGGAGAGAGTAAAAGGGCTGATGCCTAATGTTGACCTCCAGCCCCTTCTCACTCCCAGAGCCGGCTGCCCACTGGGTCTTCAGAAAAGAAAGTTGGCTCCCTGGCCTAGGCTAAAGGTGAGAGATCAAAGGTCAGAGCTGCATTGGACCCCTCCCTAGGACGTGAATAAGACCAGCTCACTAACCAAGCGTACCTGGCACGGTGCACTATAGTCCTCAACCCATACCAGGCGGTATTACTGTAACTAATCCCATTTTTACAGATGTAGGGATGGGGGCACATGATTCCAACTTACCAGATCTGACTCCAGTCAGTATGTCCTGATCCCCCCCCTAAGCTTAAGTGCAAAGAGGGGGTCTACGGCTCCAGGGTAGGATGCAGTCCAGAGACCTGTGGGTTGTCTGAAGAGGAGGCTAAGAGGGTTCCCTCAGAACTAAAATTTCTGCGCTTCCAAGTTTTGAGCTGGGACCCGGGAGTCTAAGCTTTGAGCCACATGGTTAAGATCTTGTCCAGCACGGAGAACAAGGCAAGCCAGGGGTCTCCCTCTCCCCAACAGTTCCCGGCCCCTCTGCAGAGGACAACCTCAAGGGAAAATTGTGAGGTCCTCAAAGAACCTGCTGGATATGCCTATTAAAGAATTTGGACAGGAGGCCTCTGGCCTGGGGCAATCTTTCCATTCAAGAGGACCCCAGTTAACCAAACACCCCCCATATCCCCACCCCAGGATGGGGGGAATCCCTGTCTAAGACCCCGAGGTGCACCTGGGGGCTGGGAACCAGGTGGCCCCCACCTCACCTGCCGTTGAAAGCTAGGGAGCGATTTGTGACAGCCTCTTGGCTCCGTGTTACTGTTTGGCCAGGCAATTGAGCGAAAGGCAAAAGCACATTGGATGGGAAAATATTCTGGAAACATTTATTGCAGCATCGCAAACCCAAACACTCATGTCTTTAAACACTTCATCTCCCAAAGTGCTGCGTAGACCCTTGGCTAAACAGTTTCTAAACCAATATTCACTTGCTAGTCTTGCTGCCCGCCAGGGCAAGGATTCCCTCTGGGAGGCATTTGCTGTGGAACCAAATGCTTCTCCCTCCAAACAACAGCCCGAAGCACTCGGGACAGCTGAGAGGGCTCCAGATCAAACAGACGGCCCTTTTTCCCCTACCATGCAAACTTTCTCAATAAATTATTCGCCCACTTCGGATCAAAGCCTGTTTTTGCAGCCTGTGACCCAAAAAGCAAATAGCATCTCTTAAACATGAAAGCCCTCCTCCCTGCCCGGGTCAGCTTTATTACTCATTCCTTCCCCTTACAGTTATTGTTATTTTCCTCCTCTGCTGGTTGGAGGTAGCAAGTCCAAGCCCGCCTGAGGAAGATGGGAGGGGGGGTGGGGGGGAAATGGTGTGTTCCCTCGGGGATTTAAGGTGAGAGGGGAAGTCTGGGTAGGGAAGAAGCCAGTATCCCGGGAACCCAGAACACAGGGCCAGGTCTGTTTGGCAGCCCCTTGCCGCACTCTTTTGCCAAATGCCCTACTGGGAATTTTACCAGTGCAGGGAGGGAATAAATTAATGCCACCATGGGAAGGGACGGGCTGTCTACCACCTACTATTAAAGTTAAGGGGGTGTCTGGAGAGCTTGCCTTAACTCAAACAGGTCTCCCCAGTCCTACAAAGGTAAGGGGCCAGAAGGCCGGAAAGCCCGCAGTGCCCCTCTCAGCCCCTCCCGATCCCTTTTGGCAGTGGAAATAAACTTGGGGTCTCGCGATGACCCCTGAAAATTCTGCCCCTGGATACAACTTTGGAGTGTCGGAATCCTGGACGAAGATGAACCGGTAACGCCAGCCGAGGGAGGAGGTTTGGAACTCTGCAGGGACCCGCTGCAGCGAGCCGTCATCATGGACCAAGGGGTGACTGGGCACCCCTCACCTCTCCCTTGCCCTGTCCCCAGCCGCCCTAGTCCCGCCGGAGGCCTGTCGCCAAGCTGGGGGAAAAGTGCCTGCCGCGGCCGGCTGCCCGGGCTCAGGGGACGCGGAAGGGGAGGCGCGCCTCCAGCCTGCCCCCGGAGGCCGCCGGCGGGACCGCAGGCCGGAGGCGCGCCGGCGTGATTCCGACCGCGGGAGCAGGAGGAGGAGCCGGAGGTGGCTGCCGGGGGCTCCGGCTCAGGAGATGGAAGGGCAAGAGACGGTGCACGACTCGGGCGACGCGGGAGGTGGGCGTGACGCCGGTGGGGAAGGTGATGCCAGGAAGGGCAGCTGTTCCCCCTTGGGGAGCGGGCAGCTAGATGTCGGGGGTGGGTGGGGGGCTAAGGGGCTAGAGTGGACCGAACCCCTCCTGCCGGTGTCACAGATAGCCCTTTCCTCCAGTCGAAAGCCGACGCTCGCCCGGCTAACCCACTCCCACCTCCGGGTCGGGAGGAGAGGTGGTCTCCGAGCCCAGGGATAGGCGGGAAGGGACCGACCGGAGGGAGCTAGAAG